AGTGGCGACGGGTTTTACAATCAACAGTGCCAATTACCCTTGAACAAATAGAATCTTTGCTGGAACGTCAAGGAAAACGATATGAACAGTTCCAGGAGCGTATGCTGGAGATTTTAGCGAAACAAATGATTCTAAATAACAGAGGTCTCACTAATGATTCACGTAATACGCATACAGACTCGATAATTAATTCCACTCAGGAATTTCATTTTGATGGCCTAGCTGGTGTGACTTTCGAGTCTTGGTTCAAGAAGTATGAAGATTTATTCAAGGTCAACCTCAACGAACTGGATGACGCTGCCAAGGTCAGAATACTCTTGAGAAAGCTTGGCACGATTGAACATGAACGTTATAGTAATTTCATCCTCCCAAAGAATCCAAGAGATTTCTCTTTTGATGCAACAATCAAAACTCTGATGCAAATCTTCGCGGAACAATCATCTCTCATTAATATTCGTTATCAATGCCTCAAAATAACGAAGTCAAGTGAGGATGATTGGGTAAAACATACCGGCCTAATAAACTGTGAATGTGGACGATTCAAACTGTCATCAATGACGGACGACCAGTTTAAGTGCCTCGTGTTTGTGTGTAGCCTACAATCTCCCGAAGATGCTGATATAAGAACCAGAATCTTAAGCAAAATCGATCAGTGCCCAAACATCTCACTACAAGAAATAACTGCAGAGTGTCAGAGATTAGTAAATTTGAAACATGATACCTCTATGGTCGAGAACAATAGCCGGCCGTCATACGTGCATGCTGTTAGTGAAAAGAAAGACTCTGGCTCACAAAAACCATACAGCACAGACAACCAGCCCTCATCTCCTTGCTGGTCATGTGGAGGTTGGCATTACAAGAAGTTTTGTCCATACAAAGAATATTTCTGCACTAAATGTCACAAAAAAGGTCACAAAGAAACCAGATGTAGAAATAAAACTCTCAGACGTTGCTCTTCAAAAGTCTATTACAATAAATACAGATCTGGTAAGAAAACAAACAAAATATTAGTATCTCATAACCAGACAAGAATTCACCGCCGAAGAAAGTATGTGACCGTGGACATGAATGCACAGCGTGTCCATCTTCAACTTGACACAGCATCTGATATCACCCTAATCAGTCCAAAAACTTGGGAGAAAATTGAGAGACCTACAGTTCACCGAACAAAGCAACTAGCGCACAGCGCACCGGGAGGTAAGCTTAATATTGTTGGGAAAATAATGTGCAATGTTTCGAAAAATGAGGCAACAACGAGTGCAACTGTTTACTTAACCAAAAACCCGGAACTCGATTTATTGGGGTTGGATCTAATAGATGCATTAAAATTAGCAGATCATCCTCTCAACAATATCTGCAGCCAAGTCAGAATCAATAATCCTTTAGAGTCAGAGAAATGCCATTATAAAAAGGCATCATCACGTGTTTTCAGAAGGGTTGGGCGAATGTACGAAAGCCAAAGCACTACTGACCCTCAAGTCAACAGCTATTCCTGTTTTTCGACCAAAAAGACCTGTACCTTACGCTTCTCTCCCAGTAACTGAACAGGAACTAGAACGGCTTCAAAAATGGGTGTCATTGAACCTGTGAGTTTCCCCGATTGGGCTGCACCGATTGTGGTGGTCAAGAAGTCAAGCGGCAGTGTCCGTCTATGCGCAGATTACTCTACTGGACTGAATGGTGCACTAGAACCCCACCAGTATCCTTTGCCTATACCTGAGGATCTTTTTGCTAAGCTGAATGGAGGCAAGGTGTTTGCAAAACTGGATTTATCGAAAGCTTATTTGCAGATTCATGTCGCGGATGAAAGTAAGGATCTGCTTACTATAAACACTCACAAGGGCCTATTCCGATATAATCGGTTACCTTCTGGGGTGAAAACGGCCCCCTCCATATTTCAACAGGTGACGGGTACTATGCTACATGATCTTCCTGGTGTTGCAGCTTATCTGGATGACATAATAATTATGGGCGTTGATAGAATAGACCTAGAAAAGAAGCTCGACCAGGTGCTATCGAGAATAGCTGAATATGGATTCCGGCTTCTTGAAGAAAAATGTTTAAAAAGTTCCATGGCAATATTGATTATATATATAATTGTATAAATACGCATGTTTTATTGTATATTTTGATTCTTGTCAAATAAGTGCTCTAAACGTCTTTCGTCTTCTTACTTGCGAGGGTTTGGAGGTTCATCATCAGTTATATAGTGTTTCGTGCGCATTCAAGTAGAGAACATAACACATTTTTGTCCTGAAAACTGCGAGGAAGTTCAGGGTTGTCTTTGATGGTCATGATTATGGGAGAGTCTTCACGAACCGTTATTATTTTCCCAGGTTTTCCGGTGCGTTCAGGTTCAACACTTTGTTGTTTGGAGGACAAAGCACGTTTCTGAATCACAGGCTTTTTGATGACCGGGCGGATATTTTTGGGGGTAGACTGAGCGATCAAATCACCAGTTGATTTCTATACAATACTTGGGATGTTCAGCTTAGACGGTGATGCCTGGTCATTTTTAGCTCTGTTAACGAGGGTCCAATCACCTACAGAGTTTTTAAGAAGCACTGTTGCATTTAAGGACCTTGAGCTGGGAGATCCGGGTTTGCTGAGGGAGTCTATTACCGTCGATGTTATGATGGTGCTGAGTTTCAGCATGTCATCACTAATGCTAATGCATACTCCATCGATAGTAGACCTGTCGACATCCCTACTCTTGTTTTCATTGAGAGTCCTTGTTTGCCTACCTGTTTTATGACTGTCTTTTAACAAGTTTGCTGACAAGTTATCCCACAGACCTATCAATAAGACAATGATGTTATTCAGCAAACCTACAGCATCCGTGTTGCAGGTAACACACACTCACATATTATCCGACTTGTTGAGTCTGTTGTAAGCAGTCGCTGTGAGATCTGTGCACACTTCATGGAACCAAAATTTGCAGTTATCGCACTGCATGCCAAATATAACAGTAAAACGGCATCCAGGTCTTTTGTATGAATTTTTAATGACTGTATTGATATCAAATGTATTATAGATGCTAGCAAAAGACTTTAAAAATACACTAAAAACGGGCAAAAATGTATAAAAACGTATGAGATAAACTGAACTAGCTTTTACGTGAAAAACTGAAAAAAATCCAAATAGTAAGCTGAGACAAAACCACAGTTAACTATTAAGTTGGGAAAAACTAAAAAAATAGTGAGTTACCGAACGTACAGCTCAGAATAGATTCCTCAGACCAGAAATGGTACTTTTGTTGCGTAAGAACACAGCGAAAATTTGGGAAATGCAAATCGCGTTAGGACTAAACTTCCCGTTCAAAAGGCTCGCGATTAATGTATCAAACAAAAGTTTATGATAGAACAAATATAAGTATGTGTACCCTCGTTATTTAATAATTATACAGTAAGAATAAGTATGTAACAGCAGTCTATAAATAATTCCTGTATATTACCATTCGGATATAACATCTCAATTTTCTGACAAGCCTTTTACGATTTAAGTCTGGCATAACAATTATCGGAAGTTTCCAAATAAAAAGGTTAGAAGTGATATATACGCTTCATTTAAGGTCTGTTTCTGAAAAACTGCGTAATTATGGTACTATTCTGTAGCCGTAAAACTATATCGTTTCTCAATCGGCACCAGCAACTATGACACGCAACAATTTTCACTTTCTTTTTATAACATAACCAACCACCAGATCGCGCATTTCAGTTTTACTAAAATTGGTCTCTTGATCCGTAAACTGAACACTACGAGTGTTACTTTCCATCCACAACCTCGTACCGTCTTGTCTGCCTTACTCTTAACCATTTCTGAATATGGTAGCGCAACAGTCGGAAAATATGCTAACGTTTGAACAGTTTCATAAACTCCACTGATTCCACGATGTCTTTTGTGTTTTTGGATTTTCACCTGGTTGCTTGTGAACTGCTTTTATAAAAATCACATATGTATTATGGCATACGACGAAAAGATTTCATTTCACTACACATCCGGACAGATAGCAGCGAAATAAATTTTAACTAAACGAACATGGTTTTGTGATAACGTATGACCAACAACTTTTAGCTGATAGATTTTCCAGTATGACTAGTTAGAGTAGGGATTTTTGTCATATTGTCGCGAGGCAGCTTAGTTTAGATATTTATTTGCTATTTCAAGCCGATCTGCCGGATGACATCTGAGTTTCCCAAGGCGATTTACGTGAGATGCGCGACTAGACTGCATAAACTATCTCCATAACAATGCCACTGGGTACAAAATACCAACTGTGAACAAGGTGTTGCTCCATCCACTACTTACTTCCTGACAAACCTCAGTTTCACACTACCGACAACTAAGAACAACTCAGGTGCTACACCTTCTGATGCTCTGAATGTATCAACTCACTGATACTTTTCGGCATTGCTTGAAAGCTCTTAACTCATAGTCACTGCAGTATAAAATAATATGGAGGGATATGGTCATAGTGTATCATACCGACCACAGTTCTCCCCATCTGAATGGGCTACTGATTTGCCTCAGTAATAAATTACATTTATGAGGATGTGCGCTCAAGACAGAACACAAAAGATGCCGGATAAAAATCTGTGTCAACTTTCGAGTCTACTAAATATATTATGGTACTCCTTACCAGAAGCTGTAGAGAAAGCGCTTTTTGATAATTCCTGTAAAAGAAAGCTTAACCATTGCTTTAGTTCGTCTCGTCTATTACCAAGTTGTTTTACCCTCCGATTTCTTAAGGGAATGTAACAAGAGTCTTATGTTTCTGTAACGAAGAACACATCCAATTTACCCAGGCATGGGACCCTAGGAACAAATAATTAACTAACCCTACCAAGAGAAGTTAAGTTGAACATTTTAAATAAACAGCTTAGTCAATATTTCAACTAGACAGTTCAAAACAAAACCTGAAAGGATTAAACCGATTATTCAATGAAAAAACGTATGTTTGCACAATTTATTCATTATTTCAATTTTTTATTGTCAGTTGAGTTTAACTATTTTGTGGGAATATTTGACATAACTAGGTCATTTAAGTAGTGATTTTTGAATAAGTCACACGGTGACTTTGAGTGTCCATCTATCTAGTGAACATTATTAACGCATGACTCCTTGATGTCGTCGAAGGTTAAAGTTTTTACTCTTGAGGATGTCCGGAAACACAATAAACCAGATGATCTTTGGATTGTGATTCACGATAAGGTATACGACTTGACAAAGTTCGCGTCTGAGGTAAGACTACTTACAATTACGTGTTGTAACAGCAATTTTGATGGTAAAACCGATAACCCGAGTCTAAGTTTCACCCTTACCTAGATAGAAACCTGCTATTCTTTAATTTGAATGCAGGACATTCTCCCTCTCCGGATTTTGGGGAAAGCTTGGGTTTACCCGGAAGTCATGTTAAAATTCGTAGTTTAGGGACAGCCAAAAGTTTCTCCCTGAAGCTTTGACAGTTTTCCCTAAATAACTACATTTTCGGAGAGAAACCCCAGACTAGGGGGGAATTTCGGGGGGGTTGTCTCACTTCCCCAAACCTTCCTCAAAATCAGGAGACTGGATTGATAGATAAAGGGTAAGTCCTAATGTATCTCAGTATCTTTAGTTTCTCAAGCTGGCTCTGGAAACCACATGTATTGAAATAAAATAAGCTAGCATCAGAAGATTTAAGACCAATATTTTGTCACTTGGTGTGAAGCAAATTTGGCGAGACTCTTCGCAAATTTTATAAGCCAACAATTTTGAACCATGAGATGCATCTTTAAGGATTTATTTCCTCCGCATAACGATAGCAAATAAGAATGATATTAATTTTTGAGCGACCTCAAGTGAATGAGAATGTCTACCTACTTACTATGATCAAATGAGCGCTTTAAATTAGTATGAGGAATTAGGATTAATGCTCACAGCTAAGAATTTGGTTCGTGTTTGTCTAAGAATCCCATCCTAGTTTGTATGTTGGACCGCGGGTTAACTACATTATCTATGCGAAGTCTGATAATAACATATTCAGTTGGATTTAATCCAATTTCTTGGTGATATAGTATAGTACCTAATCCACCGGAAAAGCTACTTCATTGCAACAGTCCACTCTTATTTGTTTTGGCTGCCGAGATGTTACATTTCCAAATATTTCTGTGTTGTTTTACGGGTCTAAAACTCCAAAGTGTTACACATTTGTAGGTCAGAAGTACTCTATTAGGGTCTTAGGTAAGCCTCCAATGGCGTGTCTACAAAGCATTGTCAGTGTATGACGTAAACATTGACTTGGCAGTATAGGTTAGCGCATATTACTAGTTTGCTATCATAACAGACTCGAAAGGTTGTTAACTTTCGACGGAAGTAGGCTGAAGCACGTCCTACGCATTAAGCTGCTGCTTACCCCAGTACCTTACATCGGTTGCGTAGTTTGTATAAAACTTAAAGCGACTAACTGCGGTGTCAGTTAATGAAGTCGTTAAATTTTAACCCAAATTGTAGTGCGCACTTCTCGATTGGGGTTAACAAGATAACTATTATATATAGTTGGATACTTGATGTAGCACTTTTCATGACTACAGCTAAAAGACTTCAGTTAAGGAACTCCACATCACTTTTATGAAAAATGTACTCGAAATCTAAAACTGAATCGCCGCTGCCTTTTACTCATAAACTGGTCAACTACTTTTTACTCAGTCCCAGCATCTCAAATAATGCGTGATGTAGAAGCAGCTGAGGTAGTAATTTGTAGGTATGTAAATTCATTTGTAATGATGATTGCGAATGTCATTTGTATGATTGGACAGACTCAACTATTCCTTACTATATGTGTTTGTGGGTTAATATACTGCCTTAATTCACGGGCTAAAGCTAGTGGTTTCTTTAGTGTCATTCCCTTAGCCTTTGACCGAAGGTTAGTTATAGTAAGGTAGATACACCCGTTTTTTAGCCTCCCCAAGCCCTCAAAATAAGGTTACCCTGTGATTGAAACACCAGCTTCTATGGCCTAAATATTTGTTACGAGTGCCATCCCTGGGACTTTCACTTCGTGCGGCTTCGGTTTGGGCACCCGGGCAGTATCACACCCCCCTATGAGATCTGTGTGGCGCATATGTATTTGGTGCCTTCTTGTACCGATATCTATGTGTTAAAATAAAATCACTTCGTGCACCGACTGTTGACTCTGGGACTGAGTGTAGAAAGCAGTCAGACAGGTTATAACATAGCACTATACTGTGAAGGATAGCTGTATGCGATTGTCATTTGCCAGTTCATCACGAACTTCTGGCTAAGGTTTTAGTTATGGACCACCCAGTTGTTTGAGACATGGCTCACAATAGAACCAGTAAAGACCCACGACTTTTTATATTTTTCGTAAAAGTGGGAGAAACTCGACTGAAAAAAGCCTTTCTGGTCATACTTCTTATCTGACTGTATGTCCTTTTATTTACTCTTCTCATCCACTTGTTTTATTTGGTTGTTTTCCCCTTCCGTCGTCAATCTCTTCACAGTTTGGTGCCAAGTTGTAGTGTAAATAAAATAAGTTCTATGCTTCCCGTTTGTTTCCTTTAGTAACTTTTATCTTTAGTTATCCATTATTGTTTGTGTTATTACTTCCAAGCATCCGGTTTTCCTTTTGATTTCTGTGTATGTTCATGTAATGTATATCAATATTAACTGATTAAAGCTTACGTGATTTCGTGCATTTATCTATCTAGTTATCTGTTTCTACAGAATTTATACTATATTTCCATTTAGCATCCAGGGGGTGAAACTGTATTAGAACAACAAGCGGGAGATTATGGTACTGAACCATTTGAAGATGTAGGACACTCATCAGATGCTCGTGAAATTATGGAGCAGTACTATATAGGTGATATAGCACCTGTACGTTTGTTTTTGATTGTTTAATCTTCTTTTACTTTCAGGCCGATCGTGAACGAAAAAGTAAATTCACCTCTTCATTCACACTAAAGAAAGTAGATAATTTTAGGTAACATTTTTTCGAATTTATGATAATTTTCTCATAAATTTTGTTTTAACTGTATTCTGACTTATTATCAACCAGTAATTTTTACCGAAATCTGCGGTCCTTCACAAATATATTCGAAATATAATACAACCCCTTATTAAACAACGGATATAACTGCTTATTATTGAATGTTTCATACCTTCAGATCCACTTTATCAGTCCACTCATCTTTTTTATTACGGGATAGGGTGTGTCCTCAATATATATTTTAGCAAATACCTTTTAGTTGTTCTCAATATCTAGGACTTCAAAAGAACACAATTAAAAGTCAAATGAGCTTTGTTTAGTTTGTGATTCCACTGTTTTACTGGAGTTTAGTTTTACTGTGATAGTATGCAACTTCATTCCCCGTACTTATTCTTACTCATATTTGCAACTGTTAAGTCACACTACTTTTTCGAATGTTGCAATATGGCTGAAAATTAAATATACATTTCAACACATTGATGTCATTCAATTGTTCTTAATTTAATAGATTACTTTTTAAATAAGCATCAATGCTACATGGGATTAAGTTATGATACCCCAAATGCCCTGGTACGGCCGAGAGTGGGGAGAGTCCGCTCTCCCTCTCGAAATGCTCTCACATGGCCACGCGTATATAGCCTCTGCCAGGGATATCCTACTCACTGCCTTCACGTGGCGGGGGTGTTGTTTACGAAAATGAGAGGACGAAAAGCGAATGTCCGGCGCTTTAACCGGATCCCAAACCAATGGTGTACATGGGCTCCAGTATCCTGAAGGAACAAATGGCGTATGAACCAATCGTTGGTCACCGGCTACCATGGGACTGCATCTCCTTACGATGCTCCACTGCCTTGTGGGTCAGGCGTTCATGTCAAAGGCTCGGGGTGTGGCCCCCTAAGAAAACCACCTGCTTCGGTTTGGGCACCCTGACAGTATCACAGCCCTCACACAAATCAATTGCGATTCGTGTGGCGCATATGTATTTGGTGCCTCCTTGTACCAATACCTATGTGTTAAAATAAAATAATAAAATAAAAGTTATGATATACCGAGCAATTATTGTGGCTGACAACTAATCACGTAATCGTTGATAAGTTAAACATGTGAACTTATATGAAAGTTGATGCATATTAGTTAATGAGGTTGGAAATCTGATCCGATTTAAGTAGTCAGATATATACTTTAAAATCTTATAGAAGTCAACTTAGGTGCTTACTGTATATACTACTGTTTAACAGCTTTTCTAAAATCATAAGTTATGATTTTCGAGTAAATGTAGTAATCGTCAAAATTGTATTGTTATTCAAAATATAAAATCCTCTTCAAATGATCTCTTACTGTTGTAATGTAACAAGTTATGTGGATAAAGATGGCACGTGCATTAACACACTGGAAATTCCATATATGAATTAATCACTGAATTCCTTAAATTTCTATTCCTTAAAATATAGAGATGATGGAATTTAACTGAATAATGACAAAATAATTTACTTGCACTGGTATACTTTGCTACTTGATAATACCATAGTAAAAGCGTAAGTCATTATCACAAAGCACACCTTGTCGGGTAATGTAGCTTTCACTAATTTCTCCAGTGTTGTCTCACTCAGTTGTTTCATAATACATTACAATTAACTGAATAATAGTCACATTCGTAGAAAATAATAGTTCCGAAAATAACTGTTGTATTCATACTTGATAAGGTAGATAAACGTTCCACTGATTCTAGTATTTTTATTCGATGCATGCCACGTTTCAGTTTTGGTATATTTTTATTACCCCGAATATTTTCTATCATGTTTTTCTAAAATGGTGATATTAACACTGTCTAAAACCATCTTATGAATACTTAAAAGTTAAGTTGCTCTCAAATTGATATGTCGGTTCGAAATTGCTATTTATTTGTAAATTATGTAGGGTTCCGTCACTCAGGCTGATTTACATAAACGAATAAAACCGTCATGTTGCTATAAATAGGTTTTCGTACGCATCTTTACTGAATTTTATGACGTAAGATTATCATGTTTCTAGGACTTGCACACCAACTATTCTTAATTGTAGAGGTACGAAAATGTTCCCATTTTCCATCTGGATTGAATATATTACTCCCTCCTAATTATCGGATGGAGAGGCAAAGAAAGTCTTCTATTGACCTTTATTGGTTGCATGGTTGTCATATATTTTTAACAGTATATGAGGCTTGGGTACATCTGAATAGCATGTGATTATTCATGTACCGATCAAGTTGGTGCTGCTCCAGTTACTTAAAGTAAAAAGCTTAATAGAAGTGTAGCAAAGATAAACCTGTAATCAAGGAGCGTTAGAGAATATTAGATCTTTGGGTCCTCGGTCAAACTAATCGAGATGGAATAGGTCGTTTCATTTGGTTCCAGGACAACATGGAACAAGATAATCTCTGACGTATATTAAATAAAAGTTTGTAAGATGGTTAAAAATAGCAATAGCTGACAATCTGAAAAGATGAGAAAGTGACAAGACAACAGTTATTTAAATTTGTTGGAGAAATTGTCATGGGAACGTCGATGGTCAGTGATGCTGTCGCTGAAAAAGATCATTCATTTATATAGTTTCCAGGTAGGTGTTTGAAACATTAAGTAAAGTGTTTTAAGGAACAGTTCAAGGAGTTTGAAGCTATTCTTCATTTTTATATGATCACGCTTTAACCTGAGATCGACCCTCCGAAATCTACGAAGTCGTAGAAATCACGATATACTTTAATCAAGGTTATCAACTGAACTTGATTGTTTTTCTTTGGAAATAATGATCAGGAATTGCTAGTCAAATCATCTGGATTTTAAGCTACGACACGGAAATCAGAAATAGCCCTAGTAGTTAATTTCAGTTGTTGATCACTTAAGATTATATTAACGAAATAAGAAATCCTTCATGTAGTATCTCGAATCTTTGGTCTATAATCATTCGACGTCTTAGACAGATTCACGATTCGGTTATTTGCTTTGTGAATGTTGCTATCAATGTAATTTAGCAGACTTGAACTCCTCTTTATTGAGTAATCAGTCTTGTAATAGTTACAGAGATTGCACTTCCTGTTACAGTCCTCTTTTTTACCTTTTTAAAATCAGATTACCCAAGAATCGTGCAAATACATAATTGTATAAGTAAACAAGATGTAACTAGCCCATATATAAATAATATTCAAAAAGTAGTTAAATTTTATTATTAATTTCTGAAGTGAAAACTACGCGACTGGGCTCCATATGATTGTTGTGACCAGTGGTTGGAGACATTGAGTGATATGGCTCAGAATTAATCGGAGTAGCGCAGATGCATTCACTCTATGCTATCCTTCGGACCCTGAGTTTCGAAATTATTTCATACATTTTAGTCCTCGAATTCGTGCCTTCCTTTTGAGTCATATTTTCTACCCTTGGTCATGTTTTACTATCACTGATGTTACTACTACATCTACTACATTGGTTTTTATCTTGATTTTTTTTGTGTGAATTGTTATGGTGTGGTAACTTAAACAGAAGCACATATGGACCAGGTTCTACTTTGTTTATGACTGACTAACTGATATCTTAGTTTCCGTGTGAATTGCTTTTTAGTGAATGTAAACATCATCATTAATGGTGAATGTGTTTAGTGTATATTAAAGCTAGATTTGACAGACGAATCAGTTTTTGAGTTGAATAGGCTTACTGCTCGAATGCATTGTTAGGATGATTTGGGGAATACAATGGACAGCTCTGGATCAATTAAAAGATTTGGACTTAGCGGATGACCTGACCCTCCCCATATACACTAACAGATGAAGATAAAGGCAACTAGTGTAACAGCAGCCTCTGCATCAATTGGCCTCAGCATACACAAAGGAAAAAACAACATCCTCAAATACAACACGAAGAATACTCACCAAATCACACTTGATGTAGAAGCTCTGGAAGATGTGGAATCTTTCAAGTACCTGGGAAGCATCATCGATGAACAAGGAGGATCCGATGTAGATGTAAAGGCGAGGATTGGCAAAGCAAGGGCGGCATTCCTACAGTTGAAGAATATATGAAACTCAAAACAACTGTCAGTCGACATGAAAGTCACAATCTTCAATACGAACGTCAACAGTCCTATTGTACGGAGCTGAAATGTGGAGAACTACTACAATCATCACCAAAAACGTACAAGTATTTATAAACAGTTGTCTACACAAGATATTCAGTATCTGTTGGTCGGATATCACCAACAACAACCTACTGTGGGAGAGAACAAACCAGCTTCCTACTGGATAGGAAAAGACGTTGGAAATAGATAGGACATACATTAAGGAAATCATTAGACTGTGTCACGAAGCAAGCCCTAACTTAGAATCCTGAAGGGAAACGAAAACGAGTAAGGCCATACAGTACACTGCGTCGGGCACTGGAAGGAGACATGAAAAGGATGAATAACAACTGGAAAGGATTGCCCAGGACAGGGTTGGATGGAGAGTACTGCTGGGCGGGTTATGCTCCTCCACTAGGAGTAACAGGCATAAGTAAAGTACGTAAGTGTACTTTAGATTTATTTTTAGTTCAGACGAATGTACGGTTTTGTTTTAGCTTGTGGAATGTAAACGGTTTAGCTTAGTTGTCACAGATTTGCATAATTATCTATCGACAATAAAATTATACATTAGCACTAATATCACAGATAATATAATAATATTATTTAACGGCTCCTAGAATTATTATAATGTATTAAATATATAAGTCAGAAAAGTTGTCGATTTCTGTTAGTCAGTTATAATCAATGTACAATTTGATAGGAGTGTGGACCTACCGAAGATGTTAAGTCAGCTCAGCATACCAAGTCGAAATTAACAAAGTAAATAGTAATGAAGTTGAATTACTTATATTAATATTAGTAAAAAAGAATGTACATATGGAATATGGTTCACCTGCTTCGGTCTGGGCATCCGGGCAATATCACAGCCCTCACATATATCAAATGAGATGTGTGGCGCATATGTATTTGGTGCCTCCTTGTACCAATATTTATGTGTTAAAATAATAAATAAATCTTAATCTTAAGTTTAGAACATAACCCAGTCTGAAGAGTGAACCAGAGAATATGGTTTTTAGATTGTACAACCAGAAATGAGCTTAAATAATCTCTGTTGAGATCATGTGGGATAATTTAAGCCCCTAAGATATTATTTTGAAAACTATTAAGGAGCTCAGTTGCAAAGTGTCAATATTTTGACGGAATACCCATCACAGTTTCGGTCTCCTATTTTCTCCTTTGTTTGCAACTGAGCATAACATAATCTTAAATAGAACATCCTTTTGTCATGATATAAAACTACCGCATTTATGCTGTTTTGCTTTGTGAAGCAAACTTATTCATGTTAAAGGCAATTTTATGTAATGTTTTAATGTTCGTCAAGTAAGATTAGTTTACCATACCTCATCTAAAAGAACACCTCATCGATGATTCTATAGGGCGTTGGTTTAAATCCAGTAACAATCCATCATTTAATTCAATTTCAACAATCTCATACATTCTATGAATATAATTAGCCTATGTATTTCGAGAGTGATATATTATTACAGGCAAACAACATCAAGGAAAGAAATAAGTCTATCCTTTTCGTATTTTTATCTTCTTTCTCTTTGTATGTACATCCTTCTTCTTACAAAATAAAAATTAATCAAGTCACATTGTTTTGTAAATGTATTACCAAGTCCATGATTTTTTTCTTTTTTTTCGAAATATTTCTCTCGTAGTAATCTAATAACACACAAATGCATGTATAAACGCTCTCCTTGGTTTGTACAATAATAATTCAATCTTGTTTTATTTATTTAAATTAATTTATATAGTTGTTTAGTGGGTTTTTATTTGGTTGATTCATTTGTAAATATCTTTTACTAAATACCAATTTATGTTTGAATTGATTTTTTTGGTTTTGATTGATGAAAAGCGAACAATCTCATGAAATTAAATGTAAAATTGTTTGCATGATTTTTTTCCGGGAAAAAATCAGTCTTAATACTCTAAAACATCGATATTCATTTCTGACGTACATGATAATATTTCAATACGTGGTTGAGTTACATTAAAGTATGTTTCGCATTTTATTCGAAATGAAAATGATTGGGAAGATGCTACAAGTATTATTATACGAATACCACATAATCATTATGGCTCTTAAAGAACAACTTGAAAGCTCACATTCTGGTACTAGACTGTATAATCGGTATCATAACAATTGATTTATCGTTATGTTAGAAGTTTTATGGAGATTGTCCACTTTAAAGAACACTTCTCATAAAAAATAACATATAATCATTAAAAACTAAGAGTCACTACTCAGATATTTTGTTCTAGTTTCGGATTTATCAGTAATACGCCTCAACAAGCCCAATTAAGTTTGAATTATAGACCTAAACGTCACGTGGTTAGCGAGTAGTAGTTCGACAGTTTACGTTTCTTACCTTAGCCAGTTTGCAATATTCTCAGTCATCATTCAGTGGTATCCATCTCACTTTTTGCTGCTGAGGATTCAGAAACTAAGATAAAACATGTTTATAGCTTGTTTGTCAACCCGAAGTTTGTCCACTATGTGGGTTATCTTCAGAATATCTTTTTGTTAATGAGGCTGTAATCATCTTAAATAAATCCAAAGCAACTTTACACCAATAACTAATGTTTCTAACGGAAATTGCAAATTATATAGTTTTAATCATTTTAGTTTTTTTCGTCCCTTAACGTATACAATTTTATATACACTATCATTATTTAGTAAGGATAATCATCTAGTTGGATAATAATGAAAAGTACGCTACTTGATATGAATGATGTGACAAACTCTTTACCATTTTAATAGACATTGTAAATATCCTCCCCCTTCGGTACCGTAATTAAACTTAAATCAAATATACATAAGTATCTTTGTTTATGTAGCCAAAACTTACCGCTAAAATGTATCGACTAATCAGTAACAGGTTATTTACAGTTATTTTTTAAAAGTAGTCTCACTACATGTACAATGGCTTACAGCCTGAAAAGAAAAGTATTAGCTATTTAGTAGAAATAAAGAAATACGCATTTATATTTGTTGCTTTTAGTTAAATCATGTCAGCAATCTTGCAAAAGGTAAATGCAAACTGATAATATGTTTTTACTCTGTATAGATTTATTGTAAAGAATATTTCTGAAGCATTCCTTAATGATCTATGATCCAACGACTGTGTGTTGTACTGTATTTACTCAAACTTACGTCACCTATGGCGAAGGCGAGATATCCGTCTATCAATTAAGGGACGAGTATACTGCGCGGCAGTTCGTTCCGTTCTACTATACGGCTGCGAAACATGGCCTTTAAGAGTAGAAGATACTCGTAAGTTACTAGTATTTGACCACAGATGCCTTAGAAATATTGCTGGTATCTGCTGGTATCACCGGGTAAGTAGACGCAGGGTATTAGGGAATGGTGGTAAATCAGTTGATGAGGTTATGAGTCTTCATCGACTGAGATGGTTGGGCCACGTGTTGCGTATGCCTGAACACCGATGACCACGACGCGCAATGCTAACCGGTGTTAGGGATAATTGGAAGAAAGTTAGGGGCGGCCAAACCAAAACGTGGCATCAGTGCTTGAAGTCACTAACTTCTAGTCTGAGCCATGTTGGTAGATGCAGACTATCTGGTTGGGGTCCGTGTGACTATCGTAACCAATGGTTGGAGACTCTTGGTGACATGGCTCAGAATCGATCACAATGGCGTCGGTGTATACACTCTGTCTTCCTTTAAACTAAGAGATTAAAATCGCTTCATATCTTTCTTTCTACGAACTAATTCTTTCTTCCTGTACTATCTCCTTATATGTAACCTTTTTCTTATATATCACCACCACTGGATTAACTACTTCTATGAATCCGGTGTTCATCTTGTTGTGCTAACAAGGTATGGCAACTTGGACCGATACGTATATGTGCCTGGTCCTACGTTGCAGCTGACTGACTGACTATTCGGAAGATTTTAATGCCTCTTATGTATTACCTGTAGTTCACTTATATTTTAGAATTATTGATTAATAAAAAATTAGTTTAGCGCTTATCACGATATAAATGTTACTATAAATCGTTGTTACCACTATCTTTGATTAGTCATAACAATTTATAAGGCATAATCTCTTGTTTCAACCAATTAGTCAGTTATTAACAATTTAGAGTTTGGGTCAAATGTGCATTGGTTCCAGTTACCATACCATTTTAGCACAACAAGGTGAAATGAACAAGTTAAATACCAAAAGTAATCGAAATAATGTGATATCAGTGATAATGATAATGTGAAAATGCTTCAAAAAAGTATGTGCGAAGAAATAACGATATCCAAGCTCGATGGAAAGGTGAAGAGTAAACCCATCAGCAAATTATTCCGTCGTTTACTTCATGAGTATTTACAGTCCATATCTCAACTACGATATGCATTTCTTTTACAGTACCGCTAAGCATAAACCTAGACAAAGTAAGAATGAGTGTGATATTTATTATATAATAGTGGTCAAAATTGTACTTGGCTACCAGAATCAAAGTTGATTAAGCCAATACCTGAAGAGTCAAATACAAAACCGGTGAAATTGCAAAATAAAAATGATCGATTATTCTTATACAGTTATTTAGATCTAAAAAACACATTTTGAAGTGTAGTTAAAAATCATTTATGAAATAGTAATTTTTAAGCATAATCTAGTTGTATGCGCACTAAACTTCTTTTCATGTGCCTACCTGTTCATGTTTCTTCCAAATATTCAATTATTAAACCAAGTATATTTTAAATTCTAAACAGCTTTTGTTTCTTAACGAAAATTAAATGAACCCACAAATTAGCTTTTATGTAATGTAATGACACAGTAATTTGATTGCACTTTTTTACACACAAAATGTTACATTGATATTCCTCTTTTTTTTGCTTTATTTCTCTTTATTACTCAATAACTGATTATGTGTTAGTTTTTTATTATTTATCTTAATTCTTTTCTTTTGTTTTTCTCACATTTTAGTTTCACCAGATGGTCAGGATTACTTATTCCAATCGGTGTTGTAGTAGTAGCAATCATTGTGTATAAATGTTTCTTATGAGTAAACTGTTATCTTTCTGTGTTTCTATCTACCTGTATGGCTTTCCTCTGTGTTTCTGTTTACGCACTGTGATTTTGTCGTAGATCTTTTCTTCTGTGTAATATTGGTTCGTGTATTTTCTTGTTGGATTTTTTCCTTTGGTTGAATATTTGTTAATATGTTTGTCATAATAAATGAAGAGACAATCAACAGTTTTTTTACATGTCTGATGACTTCTCTTTTGTTTTAAAGTTTATGTGTATGTATTGTGTACGAGTACATGTGCGTGTGACTGGCTGTTTGTTTTAGATTCGTGCGAATCTTTGACGTATTGTGTTCAACAGTTAAATAATTTACTTTAGTCTATGTTCTAACATTCACGACAGAAGTGTGTCTCAATGTGACAATGCAATGAATATTGATGTTATTTGATCTTCTGTACATATATAGAGACAGGCACAAACCTAAAACTAATTGTTAGTGCATTTTATATATGTCGGTTTCTGCATTGAACTAGGGAGCAAATAAAATTCAAATTTGAAGTAATCTCCGGGAAACTCTAGACCTAAGTTCTATGCTAGTTAGGACTTGTTAGGAACGAGTACGCTCACTCTTATGGAAACTGATTCTCCCTATCACTCAGCTCTACAGCAAATAACGTTACTACCGAGTTATTCAGACCAAGATGCTTGTCAGCCGTAATATATATATATATATATATATATATATATATATATATATATATATATATATATAACTAATCGCTTTAGAAATAAATATCACCAAAAAGTTATGTAGACAGTAGTGGGGTCAACTTTTGCCCCGATTGTTTTTACTTCTAAGTAACATCAAAGTTCAGATTCTGATCATTATCGGGAATTTCCCCTATGATCCTATGGGACTTGATATAGTCAGCGGATCACTTAGAGAAGGGCTATACAAAGTAGTTGACAATAATTTAAGTAACTAAAGTAAGATCATGCACTAGTAATAAAAACATTGAAAGGTTTACTTTAAATATTAACACAACTTAAGTAGATTTCATTTTTCTAAAAGTACGTTTCTATTTTCTTGATGCAAATAGATTAGAATTATGAGAGTGTCGCCATTGATTTAAATTGAGTCATATCTGATAACCTCTAAATTCATTGATTGCCCCCAAATGCCCTGGTACGGCCGAGAATGGGGAGAGTCCACTCTCCTTCTCGAAATGCTCTCACATGGCCATGCGTATATAGCCTCTGCCAGGGATATCCTACTCACTGCCTTCACGTGGCGGGGGTGTTGTTTACGAAAATGAGAGGACGAAAAGCGAATGTCCGGCGCTTTAACCGGACCCCAAACCAATGGTGTACATGGGCTCCAGTATCCTGAAGGAACAAATGGCGTATGAACCAATCGTTGGTCACCGGCTACCATGGGACTGCATCTCCTTACGATGCTCCACTGCCTTGTGGGTCAGACGTTCAGGTCGAAGGCTCGGGGTGTGGCCCCCTAATAAAACCACCTGCTTCGGTCTGGGCATCCGGGCAATATCACAGCCCTCACACATATCAAATGAGATGTGTGGCGCATATGTATTTGGTGCCTCCTTGTACCAATACCTATGTGTCAAAATAAATAATATAAATAAAACTCATTGATTTGCACTATTTCTGGGACCTTATTAAAGGAGTCGCTATGAGTCGACAAATGCTATTCCATTACAACTATCCTTTATGTCACGACATCATTTATAAACTTTCCTTTCTGTTATTCTCTACACATTCTCAGAGTTAGCCGCAAAGTAGGTATACTTCTTAAAAAAAAACGAAAACTAATTTTCTCGAAAACACGATTTCTACATACGTGATGCGATGTACATACCGTACCTCTTATCATTACTAGCTTATTAGGCTTTTAACTCAAACGTTTAATACATAGATTTATCAAATTTTTCTCAATTCAGGTCTGACAGCAAATATTTTAAAGATATGAAGTTAACTGAACTTTTATACCATGGAAAGCGTTTACGTCATGATAAACTCCAGTTCTTGACTAATCGTTATTGGAATAAAAAAGGTTCACATTTGAAGGTTTCCCGTTTACGTTTTCCCGAAGAAGTTGCGAATAGTCCAAATAATCCTTTAATAAAAGCAGAAAATATGTTTAAATCAACTAGATATGATGATGCACTTTTGAACGAGATTGAAATAGGAATTACTGCAGATGAAGCTAAACATTTCGAGCAACAGAAATCCGAGAGGCTGCAGTGTTTTCATCCTCTCTTTGGAGATGTCCGCGCTCACCAAGATTGTGAACCATCACTAATCTTTTCCAGTAAACGACGTTTCTCAAAGGGTGTAGATCAAGCTAGTCTTCTAACAAATGTAAGTTTTAGTGTTTTAGTTACATAGTAAAGTACATCATAAATTAATTTTTTCTAACACATTCAATGTTTATTGATTGTTTTGAAGTCGAACAATCATTTCAGCTGTGAAAATCAGTGGAATGCTTGCACCTTTTACAACCCCAGCGTGTAAATCACGAGAATTTCAAAATTTTGACTTAGAAATCGGTGCACGGTGGCATCAATATTCTCATTAACACAACAATTACTACCATCACTGGTTTACCCTATTGGCTCGACTATAACCCGTCGTTAAACCCCAATGATGCTTTTGTCAAATACTAATGGGCAACGGATATTAAGTGTAATACCACTTTGCCTCCATCTGCAGGAGATACAGTGTAGTATTGGAGATTTTGCAGTTCGCTATAAATCCGGTCCTGGTCTCGAACCTTCAAGGTCCATCGAGTCACACCTATACAACATATCAGCCAGAGAAGAAACAAAAGCCACTATCCATAGGTCGGATTTATGGACCACAGGAGTTTGCCAAATCTTATTTACACAAAAACTGTCGAGGCAGTAAATTTAGCGTAATGAGCTACAAAGATAAATACTAAAGCCGCAACATATGCTTAAAACATTCGGGAAATGAACCCATCCATAAAACAAGCCAGTGGGTACATCATTGTGTACATCGGGAGATACTGCCTTGGTAGCCTGTAAATACATCACAGTTGGCGTTAATCATCAGTCTTTCCATCAACAGCTAGACACGGCTTTGTTTATCGGTTTGCCTCTTGGCTATCTTTCAAATGTCTTCGAGGTACAATCACACTCATGTGGCTCCAATCTAATTAACCATCACTTTCTTCATAGAGAGAAGGATTATCCGCGATCTACATGGTAGGTTAGGAATCCTCCGGACCCGTTCTTCATTATTCCAATAAAGGGGACTCCAAATCGGGATACTGCGTAGTGTCAGTTACTGATGGGGTTCTTTATGAATATAGGTATCTAATTGTTGGTAAAAGCTTCATTAGTGTAACACCTTGGGATTGTCACGAATACAATAATTTCTGTGACCCATCGATGCTACTACTATAATTATTATTGTAACATTTAATAACTTAGTGTTTTATAACCTTCTTAGTGTGGCAACACCGCGCGATTTACACCTATTTTTATCTTGTACTATTCGGTCTCCTTAGTCTCACGTAAATCCACAGTTTGTATTAGACGTTTTTCAAGTCCTTATTTTGAACTAAATCTACAAATCATAACAAATGGTAGATAGGTTAACTTACTCATATATAGTTCTCAGTTAACTTATGCAGCTGTGGTTATCTTTCCCATACTAACCTAAACATGTCATGAAGATTTACTGTGTTGATGCTTGTAGTTTTGTTTTCTGAACAATTTTAGGATTGTAGTCCGATATTGTCACTTGAGGAATAGGTAGCAAAGGGACGTGGTTGCTGATGTAATTTCACTGTCGATGCTGAAATCTCGTTCATATGCAGGATCTCCACGTGCCTTCTAAAAGTAGGTTGTACCATGAAACAGTCAGCTATATTGTTTACGTTCTGTAAATTTCACGTGTGCCGTTACAGATCTTTCCGATCGATCCTTACACCTGGTAAAATGTTCGCAAATTCCTAGACACGAAGAGTACTTCAATCCCACAGTATTATGAGTTGGTTGATCACATAATACTCAAAATCGTTCAGTACTGATTGGAGTAAATTCATGTAGCGAAAAAGCTGTAGGTGCTCGGAACTTGATGTTATCAATTCATTAACTCTTTCATAGTTGGAGTTATATAGGGAGGGGAAATCCTCCTTTATAATGTCCTCTGGAAAGTGGAAAATGAAAATTTAAATTACATGTATCAGAATCATGTTCATTTCGCTATTTATTTTTAATTACCAACGTTTTCCCTCGCTTCCTATTTTGTTGGTTTTCTTTTTCATTATTGTTACAAAGTGCCGAAAATTCAGCTGGCATGCGATGGTACATTGTATGTCGATTTGCTCATATGCCTTTCTTTTCTAATACATAACAATAAACTTCACTGAATTTTTCCTGATCAATCTTCGCCAGTGTAGATGAAGTATTCTACAAGATATCTGAGTATTGCTCCATTATGGTACTGTTCAGTTTAACAATAGGCTCAATATCTTGATTTTTACTGTACTTTTCAAAATCATGCTTTTTGCTTGTCATCTTGAAATGTTTACAATTAATGCGAATAAACATTTACTTCATTTTCATGTTTACAATTCTTTCTTTGATTATCTTTATCCATAGTTTCCTTCTGTTTCAGTTTAATTCACTTTGATATTTATTAGCTTGCATAACCGCATCTTCATATCATATCTGGTGTTTCTGATTATTTTTTATTTCTTCAGACTGTCGTTACATTGGGTGCTCCACCGACACTAAATAATCTCTTTAATAAAATTGATGAATTAAATAAACTTGTTGATACAGATAAGCCAATTGCAGATTGGAGATCTTCCTTACGTTTATTTGTGGAACGGTCAATTCTACATGCTCATGTTTGGCAAACGGATGAAACTAAACTGCCTCGTCGATTTCACCAACAGTCAAATGTTTGGAAACATAAGCCTGAGTATGGAATCCATCCGGAACAGAGTACTCGTTATCTGTTCCACAATCTATTTCGTATTTTGGAATTTCAAGTGAGTTATGAATATTCAACGTTTTTCAGATTAAATGTACATTATCGAGATAGAACATTTGTGTAATGTAGTCAGTTTGATGGTAATTTTCATCAAATGAAAAACTATCAAGAATCAAAGGGAACTGGTCGACCATTTTGTCCTCGTTGGTATTCCTTTATGATAGGTCTAAATATGTCAATGTAAAGTTGAAAGATAAAATCCCGTTCACTTCTACGCAGAATTGAATCTACAGAGTAGGTTGTGTCGATTGTGATGCGTTCTACATTGGAGAGTGTTCCCGTGTGATCTTTACTCGTGCCAAGGAACATGTACGTTGCACAAAAAGACCTAATAATCCTTTAGAATAGGAAAATTTACAAGTTGAATCAGCAATAGTGGTAAATACTATTTTCAATAATCGCTGGATTGATACTAAAAATATCATAATAATTCAAAAAGTTTTCTCCGATTATGAAGACAGGCGAGTAGCCGAAGCGTTTCACATAATGATAAATCCTTCTACCCTCAATAGAAAAGAAGGTCTGAATATTCATTCAACCTGGACTTTTTATCCAAACAACCACGTTTACCCTTATTTATTCACCACAGAATCTGCAGACTCACACTCAATCTCAATCCC